TCTCTTAAAAGGACCTTTGTTGACATTTGCCTTTGCCCTTCTTCAATGCCTGTCATGTAAAGGAAACAAACTGTTCACTACTTAGAGGCAGTTTAAGCTCTACAGAAGTATTATTAGAACATGTAAAACACTCTTTATTTTACCCTCTCAAAAATTATTCATGCTAGGCTGTATTAGTTTTTAGTTAGAAACAGAACGTATTTAAGTTGCATACCCAACATTTTTATATCCAAAAGAATCTTGTTTCTGTCAATGTAGCTGCTTTGTGAGGCTTTCTACTTTTTCCAGCCCTACTGCCAGCCACTGGTGAAAATTTGGAAACCTTTGGAATCCTCCTCAGCTGTAACTATTTATTTAAAAAGAAAAAAAATCCTTAATGGCATTAAGTCTTCATCTCTTTGTGGGTGTGATTTTCTGAAACTGCAACAAATCATTTGGAGCCACATATAGTTGATTAGTAACCAAGGTGGGTGAAAAAACGTTAATGGAAAACCTAATCCTATATAATAGAAGGGTATTATGCAAATCAACTGAACTGTAGGACTGGTTGCTATGACACGCACTGACCACCAGGGTCAGACAGTCAACACCAGAGCTGCCCCCTGGGGGTCAGTGCACTCCCATAGGGGAAGCACTACTCAGCCAGAATCTGGCTCAAGGCTGGTGCTCAGCGGCTGGCAGGAGTCTCTCCCACCTCCGCAGCAGCACTAAGGATGTGCGCCTAGAGCTCCCAGACTGGGAGAGGGCACAGATCAGGCTGGGGTACACCCACCCACACCCAGTGCACAAATCTCATGCACTGGGCCTCTAGTGTAACTATAAAATACTGCAATATTTTATTACAGCCTTTTAAAATTTCTAAATTCACTTCCAAAATATTGGGAAAATAATATAAGTAATTTGAAAAATACTCATTTGGATACACAATAATGGCATTTTCAAAACTTCATTTTTGTGTCCAGATTTTACTTTATCAGCCAACCAGGTTCTGAGGGCCTCACCTCATTACTGAATTATCCTAGCCTAGATAAAGATCACTAAATATATAAATAAATAAACTTTAAAGCTCAATAGTTGGGTCTGACTCACTGTCATATTAAAAGTTTGGGTTTGTTCATCAGGACAGTTCACTTTAGAAATAGTACTTAAAACTGACTTATCATTTAATGTTACACTCCCATTTTCTTTTTCCATATATACAGGGAAGACTTAAGAATTGTATAATCTCAAACTAGCTAAGAATAGGTTTGCTAGAAAATCAGTATAGTCATTTTACTATTAAAATTCTGCTCATTTAAATAATTTTTTAATAAAATATTTGAAGAAGCAGTTTAGAAAAACAAGATTTGTATTTTATTTCCTTGTAAAAATCTTTACACATGCAGACAAACCAGTGTTAAGAAAGTATTCACCATCATTTAAACAAATAACCACTTAAATAGAACAGTGTCTGCAATTTTATCTGTATAAAAATAAGATACATTTTTACAGAATTCACACTCCAGTTCTTATAGCAATAAACAATACACAACTATAAGTACAATTGAACCCGACCATGGTTTTCAATTAGATACTGCTAGGGCATTTTAATGTGCAAAAAAAAAAAAAAAAAAAAAAATTAACATAGTTCTTTTCAAGAGAAATTGTCCTCAGTGTTTCTAGAGACCTAGAGGGTTTTAAGAAATCAAATCCTAATCAGTTTGCTTTTAATGTTTTGATTATGAGTCCATACATCACACTGTAGATAGGCAAAACCAGGAATTGATGCAGGTTCAACCAAGAAAGTCAGCGCCTGTGCCTGCCATGTCCTGAGCGGCTGCCACCATGATGCTTGCCTTTATGGGACCTCTCAAAGGAGCGAGATCTTTCACGCCTGTCCCTATGATGTCCCCTTTCATGCCTGTGTTTCTTGGCCGCATCTGAGTGATCCCGAGACTTGCTCTGAGATCGAGAACGAGACTTTTTCCTTTTATGACCATGTCTATTTGAACTTTTTAAATCATCTCTGGTATGCTTGGCCTTAAGGTGAGGAGAACCATGATTATGATGTCTTCTTGGGCTTTCACTGTGACTGCGGGACCTGCTTCTTGATCTCGAGCTGTATGTTCCAGATCGACTCCGCCTATTATTATAACTTAGACAATAAAAATTTGAGATTTAGATTCGATTTCTGCTGGAAACAGATTATTTTGGTGATGCTCAAAACAAGTTCAAAACAAAACTATCAGGCCTGTATTGACAACAGGCTAGACTGAAGACTTTTATTAAATTTCTCCCCCTCACTACCTTCCCTCAAGTCTGTATTAGACAAATCTTAAACAAATGTAAATAATGTCTATATGCCAAGGAGAGTAATTAGCAAGTTTTACAGGATGTTCTAGACAGCTATGCTTTTTATTAAGTATTTCCCATACGTTAAAAAGAGCCACAATCCTATCTAATAAAGGACAAAAAGGGTAATTAACCGTACCTCCGCTACGCTTCCCACTGGCTAATCAGCGAGATATGCAAACTACTGCCAACAAAGATGACGGCCGCCAGCCACGCAGCTGAAGCGAGCAGGCGGCTTGCTTGCTCCAGTGATGGAGGAAGCCAAGGTTCCCTGCCTGCAGCAGCCTGGCTCTGAGCTCCGAAAGCAACAGCTCCAAACGCAACAAAGTTTCAATTATAGAAGCTAAACAAATCCCAGATACCTGCTTTCAGCCAGCCGCATGGCCTCAGAGCTGGGAGTGCCAGTGAAGGCAACAGTTTCAATTATAGAAGGTAAATAAATCCCAGAATTAAAAAAACGAAAAAGGAGAGTCTGGGAGCTTCAGTCGCCCGCCAGCCTGAAAACGGCCTTCAGCCCCTCACCCAGACTGACCAGGCACCCCAGTGGGGACCCCCACCCTGAAGGGGGTGTGACTAGCTGCAAACAGCCATCAGCCCCTCACACAGGCTGGCCAGGCACCCAAGCGGGACCCCCACCCTGATCCGGGACACCCTTCAGGGCAAACCAGCCGGCCCCCACCTGTGCACCAGGCCTCTATCCTATATAGTAAAAGGGTAATATGCAAACTGACCCTAACAGCAGAATGACTGGGAATGACTGGGAATGACTGGTCACTATGACACACACTGGCCACCAGGGGGCAGACGCTCAATGCAGGAGCTGCCCCCTGGTGGTCAGTGCACTCCCACAGGGGGAGCTCTGCTCAGCCACAAGCCAGGCTGATGGCTGCCAGTACAGCGGTGGTGGTGGGAGCCTCTCCTGCCTCCTCAGCAGCGCTAAGGATGTCCGACTGCAGCTTAGGTCTGCTCCCCGCTGGCAAGTGGACATGCCCCAAGGGCTGCTGGGCTGCCAGAGAGATGTCTAATTGCCAGCTTAGGCCCAATCCCCCGGGGAGCAGGCCTAAGCCAGCAGGTGGTCATCCCCCTAGGGGTCCCAGACTGCGAGAGGGCACAGGCCGGGCTGAGGGATACCACTCCCCACCCCCTACCCCCAGTGCACAAATTTTTGTGCAGCGGGCCTCTTAGTCTAATTATAAAGCTAATTAGAAAATTCTTTGGCTATGGTTGATTTATTAACCAATAAGTGATTAATGAAATAGTCAATTTTCTAACTGAAATCAGACAGAAAGACAATTTTTTCACACCTAATTTGTTCAATTTTTTTTTAAAGAGTAACTTTTTAAACACTCCAAATAAAATTGTTTTTTTCTAAGAGAATATTTACTTACTGTCTTCTTGGAGTATGTGATCTAGAATGTGATCGTGTTCTTGACCTTGATCGACTTGCACTTCTGCTATTTCTACTTCTCTTGCTGTCTTTTCTTACACTTCAAAAAACATAACAAAACAAAAAAAACAAACAAACAAAACAGTGTATTAGTTACGTATTTACTGTGTTAGAAATTAATCACACATAAGGTTCCTGGGGCCAGTTCTAACTCAAGTATACTCACCCATTATAAGGGCTTTTGGAAGCCTGCTGTCTGTCTTCAGGTTCTTTTTTGACCATCTTCACATTAATAGAGATAGGTGACTTCTCTTCAGCCTTTACTTCTCTTGGTGATGCTTAAATAAACAAACATAATAAAGACATGTTAACTACCGGATTTAACAGAGGGTCAAAAGTTGTTCGTACATATAATTCAAGTATCACGTTTTCAAGTATGTCTTCAGTTGACTGTCAAGAGAAAATAGTAATGGCTTCTTAACATCGTTTCCTTGCAAATGATAAATGCTAAAGCATTCTAATAATCACACACCTTCAGTGCCCACCTCATTTCAATTCTGAATAAATCTTACATGGTTTAGAGGCTGGAGAAAATCCACCAAGGGTTGAAAGGGCTGGAGTTCCATCAGGATTCAATCCCTTTGCTTTTAATTTGGCTTCTTGTAAGGCCACTTTTCTTTTCTCTACTTCTTTTTCCAGTAATTCATAGTTTGGCTATTGGAGGAAAATGAGGTTAGTATCTCTCCTTCACAGTGTAGAGTGTTAGCATTGAGAAAGTATTAGCACAAACACGAGTAAACAGAATTACCTTTTTCCTGGTATAAAGCCTAAGAGTTTCTACACAGATATCCTGGATCTCCTCTTCAGTAGTACCAAAAAGAAGAAACCAATGGGGACGAGTGGGCAATGGAATCTAAACAGTGAAAAGAGAGTGGTTTAGATCAAATGTTTACTGTTTTTTATTAGGAGGAGTAATTTATCCCACAGAACAAAACAGGCTATCTAAACCTACCTGAAGAGCTCTAGCTGCAAGGTAGATGCAAGCACATGCTATAGTCTCTGGTTGAAATCGAACAAATACATTGGTTCGAAGACTGTCATTCATATAATTCCTGAAAAATATTTTAATCATAAGCTCTGTGCATAAACCAGTTCTAAAGCTTACATAAAATTGGAGACTCAATCTACTTTATTCTTTTTTCTTCTCATATTTATATCTATATCTTCATATTCTAGCAAATAACAATTCTTAACTCAAAAATCAGAGAGATAAGAATTTAACACTAGAACAATTCTTCAGCTTTCCTGTGACTAAATTCCTTTAAAATAATTCTATTATTCCAAATAGAACACAATGTAAAATTTTAAAACTCTATTTTTATGAAAATCAATGCTTTAAAAGTCAATTCTGAATAACTAGTTTCAGAAATGATAAACCACTCCAACAATACTTCAAGCCATTAATTATTGACCATCTCTCCTTTATCCACAATGAAAAGCAGTGTCAACCAAGTTCTTTCAAAAAATTCAAAGTACTGTGACAGGGGTAAAAAGGTAAGCACTCACCAAGTTATATTAAGAAAACTAAGTACTTCAGAAAATCTAGACAGGGAAGTGAAGAGCAATAAATATATAAAACAGCCTGTTTATATACCTTTTTTGTGACTAAGTACAAAGAAAAGCAATTAACTACTTCAGCTAATAAACTGCTTGATTTCTTAAGTAGTGAACCCTCCCCACAACATCCCTGAAGTATTGAAAAATTTTTACAAATTGTTTAAAAGGTTAAACTACAAGGTTGTTTCTTAAAAATCCTTACTGTAACTGCTAAAATCTGTTTTACAGAACATATATTAAAAATGTCATGCATTTTATAAAAGCAGTGAAACTTTTCTATTACTAATATTTACTGAATCCAAAACAAGCATGGCAGTCATAAGTCCAGAACATAAAATTAAGTCCTGTACACCTATTGTGTTGAGATAGTAGTTATGTCTGGACCACAAATCCTTGTTTTACTTTACCTTTAAATAAGCTAGCATTCCAAATCACATATCTGCATCTCAAAAGTCCAAGTTATAAAGTGCTTTGAAAAATCAACTACTTCTTAATTCTGTTATTGTCTGCAATAGCCCAGCAGCTAGAAATTCATCCAGAATGGAAATGGTGCCCACTTTAAGCTACAAGTTGTAGCTTCCTTTGGTAGAATTCATGCTATACATACTGAAAATTGAAAGCTAGTCAAACTCCTAACAAAAAAATCACTTAATTCATAATGGTCGGATAACAATAAAAAATGAACTATTCATTTTGATAGTTACAGGTATACATTCAATACATAGGCATGTTGAATAGTTACTTCTAGAAGCAAATATACAAATCCTTTTGACACCCCGACAGAACTAGAAGATGCTGCCAGATGGATATGGACCACTTCAGTGAATCTCGGATGAGAGCTTGCACTGGATTGGCTGGAGAGCAGGGCAGCCAATCAGGCCATCCTGAGGTCATGGGCTGAAGTGCAGAGGGCAGAGTTCTATGACTTACCATCATGGACTACCCTTTAATTAAAGAGTAGAAAAAAGAACAAAGTTAAATTGAGTTCTCCATTAAAAATAACTAGTCAAGCCAAGAAAACAGGAAGCAGAAATAAGCATTATTTACCTTTTGATTAAAAAACAAAAAAACAAAAAGCACCAAAAGAAACTCATCTCATTATTTTGGAAAGGGAAAACGAAACTTACTTTATTTCTGCTTCTGTTTTCCTGACTAGGAAAAAAATGTAAAAAACAAAACAAAACAACTTACCAGGCAGTTTGAACCAGGGTTTGATTACGTTCACATTCTAAGACTTGTAAATACATAAAAATGATCTGAAGGACAAGGGGAAAAAAACTCAGTTTAGCACAACGTTGGTTCTTTCAGAGTACAGAGTTCAATGCATATAAGTAACTGAAAATGTTAGATTCAAGTTTTAATTCTTCTATAAACTACATAAATAATACAGACCAATCTAAAATGTATCTAAATCAATGTGGGTTATTATGCTACTAGATTCCATAAAAATTGTTTAAAAATGTTTCAAGATTGTACAGAGAAAAAAATTGGGAGTTATTTCAATAAAAAACAATTTTTCATGAATACTAAGTGGCAGGCATTGTGTCCTACAAACAAGATTATAGCATTTAATTTCCCAAGGTACAACTCTGCGTGTCCCAAACCCTAAACACTATGTTTTAAAAGTTATACAATGGGCATGATACATTGTAAAACTCCAAGTGGGTATTATAGTAAGTATCAAACACTGAATGTTTCTATAGTGAAGTTTATCACACTATATATAAGTAGCTTTGCCTCAGTTAAGATGAGGTATTTTAGGACCTGTATTACAACTTTAGAGTTGTGAAATCTAAGAACAGAGATATCTGCCAAGGTCACTCAGCTAATGGCAGAGACAAGTTTCTATTGCAGATAGTTCTGCTTTCAGGGCACCCATTCTTGTAACTATTTTGCTGTTACTTATGTCAGCCACATGCAAGCCAAGACTTGCTAGAGAAACCTTTGAACATTCAGAAACAGTAACAGTAAGCAGCCAACACAGCTTGAACATTTTACTATGCAACAGGTAGCATGCCAGACTTTTTTGTGCATATACACACACCCACATATATATATAGAATTTATTCCTTGGAATGAGTTATTTCATAAACTCTGTTTCTAGATAGGGAAAACTGGGTTAACCATAGAGGCAAAAAGAACTTATCAATGCCTACACAACAGTAAAGTTTTGAACCTGTCTTTTTGACTCCCATTTTTCTGATAAATTTCAAATCTAAAAGGTCGCATTTAAAAACCAAGGTGAACTCTCAAATATAAACATATATTCATGTAAAATAAAAGTTTAAGAAAACCCTAATACTTACGAATACAATTCCTGTACTCTATAACTCACCTTATGGGGGTGCTTGACATGAACACAAAATCCCAACTCCTTTAGCACCCTCCTCTCTGCTTTGATAACTTGATTTTTGGTGTTAATGTAGTTCTGATCAAGGATGAGGGGGCTTGGAGTCCTATAGTTTGTAAGAAATAAAATCAAAACTGTTTTGCACATCCAAAAATTTTTATTTGTGGCATCTCCGTTTTCCCTTCCAACCAACTATTGGCAACAGAAACCAGCTTTTTAAACTCCTGCAAACAAGTTAAGGCATTAATCTTGTGCTGTCCAAGTTATGCTAATTAAATATATACTTTCTAGACTAAATTCCTATAGAAACTAACTCAATCCTGCAATGGAAATAATTCACTCTACTTCTCTTGTATTTATCCTTGGTTATTTCATATGGATACTTTGGGAATATATGTTGCTTAACATCAGTGACAGCTAACACAAATCTCATTAGTCTCCAGACTCTCTGCACTGACAAAATGAAAGTGCTCCTGAAAATATTTACTATAAGACCTTGTAAGATTATAGTGATTTTACTCATTTTATAAAATATCAACTCTTGGTAACTTTATGGCCAAAATTAAAATTAAGGGAAAAAATATTGGGTAGCTAATCCACATTTCCCCCGCAAATGGGCAATTTGCTTAAGCAAATTGTTCTAAGATTCTATTTCTGTTAAAGAAAATAATCTGGAAACTAAAGATTTAGTTCAATTACCAAAATAGTTTATAAAATTAAATCAGATTAAAAATTCAAAGTGATCAATAAAAACCATGCCTAAATTTGGTTGAGTTGTAGTTATCAGGCAGTATATTTAGCAATGCAAGAGAAGGGAGGACCATAATGAGGAAACCAGGACAATACTCAAGGTCTCTGTGCCAGATTCAAATTTGATAGCTTCCAAAGTTATGATGCAGAAGGCTATCTATTAGTCAGGGGCTCAATGCTTTAGAAACAGCACATTCAATTAAAAGACTATCTTATTTAAGTCTTAAAATGAAAAACCGGTTTCTTACTTTTATTTAAAGCTTATGTTCAAAATTAGCTTCTTACTAAGAATTTTTTTTGTCAAGACTTGGACTTTTCATTTAAAAGCCCATAAAATGTCCTAGTGTCCTTTGTTTGATACATTTTTAGATTGAACCAACAAAAATATTTTTTTGTTAAGATATTATTAAAAATATTGATTACATGATATATACATATATATGTAGGATATTTAAATATTTTCCCCATACTCAATTATCAGCCAAAAGATTCAAGAGTTTCTGCCCTGGGCAGAACACAACATCTATTTTAAAAAGATAATAATTCTGAACATTATCCCAACTCACAACTCCTTTTACCATGCACAGCAAATCCAGAAAAATGTAAGCTAACACTTTAAAATCAAAAACCAATTTAAATACATCCACTTGAAAATTAGATAACAATGTGAAATAAGCCACATTAACTACCCCTGTGGTGACATGTTATCAGAGTAGAAATCACTTATTTTCTCACATTTAAAATGATGAAAACTAGAATGCTTGCTAGGGTATTTCAATTTTTTTTAAATCAAATTGTATTAAACAAGACAAAAGCTGGCAAGCTGACAAAATGGAAAACAGCTGTTAAGATTAACAATGCTGAAAATGGCCTTCACTCAGTTCAATTCCTATTACAGATATAAAAGGTGTGAGGAATGAGGCCATCAATTGGAGAGGGCCGATTTCTAACATAGTATCAACGAATCCATTTTTATTAGGACAATAGGCTACAAGTTAACTATTCTTTGGAGGGAAAAAAATCAAATTTACCTCAAGACCAATAAATGTATACATGAAAGCATATCTCAAAGAACTTAAGGTTTATTATTTTTCAGGTTTCATCATGACAGGAAATTTAGAAGTTAAATCCACCTCAGACTAATGTCTCCCTCAACAGGCATTAGGAGAAAGGAGACCTTCTGTGTTATAGTGGCATCCAGAACTTTAACTCTTAATCCACTCCAATTGGGACAGCAAAACTGCACCATTAGAAACCATATAAAAGCAGTTTTGTCTCATTTCCCATTTTTTTTTTGAGTAAACTCATTTATACTAAGCTTGCTTTAAAAGTTTCCTTCAAATTCTGTTAAAATTCATTTTTCTTGTAATTAACCAGCTAAATACTTGTTCAAATTATGGCTACTCTCTGGTAGTAAATCAGGCTTAATTATCAATTCTGCTTAAACCAACTGTTATTTTCCATCTACTCTGCCACAATCTTTACTTTCCCTCTATTTTGGTGTCAACACTCCAATAACATCAAATGATTAAGGAAACCAAATCCATTATCCACTATTAATTCAACTACATACTCAACTTTTTGCTTTGGCCTACTAATACCTACAGTTTTCAAAGTTAACTTTGTGGGTGTATAATCTAACACCTTCATTTTTGTGCAGAATTGGTTTTACCTCACAAATCAAGGAAGGCTCAATAAATGTGTAATTTACCACTTATATTTTGTAGGAGAAAAATGTGTTCGGATAAATAAGCAAGTAAAGGTTCAAGAAAACCGTCTAAGCAAGTAGTTTCTTTTTATTAACATAGTATCAATTAGTACTTTCTGTAGCAATAAGCACATTAAATTGAATTAAGGTTTGCTAGAATGCCTTCCTCTCCAATTATGTTAAATCTCCTTTCTGATAAAAGTTTGAAGAGGTGGCATTTTAAAAAATCTCTTAAAAAAGAAATCATTTATTAAGAGAGAGAAAAAAATTTGTTATCAACTAACAACCAAATCTAACTCTACCTTCCCGGCTTTAAAGTTTGTCATACTTTTCAAATTAATTTATATGAAAAGAACAATTTCCAAATTTTAGTCTTAATAGGAAATCTTGGGCTTTGACCATTGGAAGTTTATTATCTGCCCTCTTAGGACAGCTATTTTTCCGTTAGCATGATTTAGTTCAAATATACCTCGAAGAAAAAGAAATTAGGATCAGGAGATGCAAACATGGTTAAGTTTCACTCATGTAGTATGAAAACTAGTTCTTCAGGAACTATACTATAGTTTACAAAGAGGCAGACTCCTCCTGCTCAATATACAGAAATCTGCAATACGACTTCAAAGGAACATTCTTTTTTTAGCAGTGTTTAAAAACAAAATGAAGGCCACCATTAGAGCCATAAAATAAAACTGCAAATGGAGGCTGGACTTATGACCCTTCCAACTTTCATCCATGATCTATATACATGTTGAAAATACCACGCCATATGTACCAATGAGAGTGGTTGCACCAGCCTGAAGATGTCTTCTTTTAGACAACCAAGTCTTGTCTTTGTAAGTTGTAAATTACACGTTTATTGAGCCTTTCCTTGAAACCACAGAAAACCCTAATTTGCTGTGAATATGTTCCACCCCAAAAGCAAATTATAATTGGAAACTATTAAATTCAGCCATTTATTCTGAGTTTAAAAGACAATTACCAAACTACCAAAAAAATCAAAGGGGGAAACAGTCAAGTAATACAGAATGTGGCTTGGGCATTGGTACTTTCTAAAAGTTCACCTGGTAATTCTAATGTGTAGCCAGGACTGAAAAACAGTATCTAAAGGCTACAGAAATGATTCCTCCTTTGTAATTTTCTAGTTCACACTACAATAAGGCTTTCATAAACTTCATTAAAATAAATAACATTAAAATAAGCTGACATTATTTTACCAACTGAAGTATAATACTGACAATACTTTCTAATGACATTAATCTATGAAAATATTAAGCTACAGTTATAATAACTTGGACAGCAAAGATTAAAGCTTATAACAAGAAACAGGAGTTTTTCTAAATGGTTCAGCAGTGGCCAACCTGTTAGTCCCCGATTCCAGTGACCTATTCTCAGAGCACTGGCTTCTCCTTGGGGATTTTCCATACTTCACTCACTGTTGCCATGACGACAGCTTCATCGCTATGTACCACTCCACATCACCCAGGCTTTGGTAAATGTAGCTGGTCGCTGTATAGTCGGTTGCAAGGGAAAAAAGAGTTGAAGTTAATAACATATACAAGTTACGTGTCTGAGTAAACTTGTAATATGCATAGAAACACTTTTACATCCTGCTTAAAAAAAAAAGGCTTCCATGCAATTAACAACTCCTTTTAAATTTCATGCTAGTCACTTCTAAGATGGAGACAAAAATCAGTCTCTTTGTAATGACCCCCCCAAAAAACCAGTTACAGACACAAGTCAGGTGAAATGTTTTACATTCCAAGATTTTTATAGTTAAGAACTACTCTCTGAAATGGAGGAAGAATGCTCTAAGGCTCACAGAAAAATGTCAAAGTAGATAATCATTATTAAGTGATAAGAGTTGGCTCAATGGTTCAAAAAATAACAGAAAGCTATTTCCTTTAAACCAGCATAGAATCCTTTCACTGAAGAGCCTTGTTACTAGTGTTTTAAACACCCTGAAGAATCAGCGAGGTATCTAAATGTTTATTTTAGCTCAGACCATACTAAATACCAAATTGAAATCTTCCCAATTTCCAGGAATTCCTCACCAAGAAGCTAAAAGATATTTTAAAATGAAATAAAAAATTAGTCTATCCCTGGATATGGTTAGGGTGAATGAGGAAAGATGGCAGAAAAAAAAAATGTAAGAAAACTGAAAAAAAATGTGAAAACTATCTGAAGAGCAATGTTTCAGACTTTTTAACTAATCGTTTTAAGGTTACTTTTCTATTTGCTTGTCTCTGAATAGTTCTATTATGCCAACCTACAGATTCAGCTGATTAAGAAACACTCAGGTAGGATACTAAGTTGGCACTAACCAACACCCAATCCCCAAAACAACTTAAAATCCTTTTATAACTTCCTTTCAAACTCCAAACATCACAATTTCTTAAAAAGTGAAAAGACCTAATCTATTCCAGCTATCTCCTTCTGCAGCATGGACTAGAAGTCACCCGAAGTGCTGCAACTAAAATTTCTGGTACTGCTCACATGAACATGTAAGTCCACATAAAGTGTTATGATGTAGCCACAACACCTATAAGGCACTCTTTTGGTCTCTATTTTCTTACAAGAGAAATTAAACGAGCCTTATCTAAATATAACCCAATCAATCAAGAGTTAATTTTCTAACCCACTCACTGGGACTTATCTGACCAAGACAAAATACCTGTTTAATCCCTTTGACTTCAAACTTTATCATCCTGCAGTCCTTTCAGATCCGGTATATCGTAGTTCAATGTTGAAGTACTCTTAACAAAAGCCAACCTCAATTGATAATGTGTTAACTGGGACTTCCGAGTAGAGAAACAATCTACACAAAACTGTGCCACGTTATGAACTTGAACTGCAGTTTAAACTTCCAGCCTTCAGTCTTCCAGAGAGGGGTGGGGAGAAACAACTTACAGGTACACTCACACTTGAGCCAAACGCATTCCCTTTCTTGTTTAATCTTAAGCCACAGGACTGCTTCACAGCACTGTTAGGATTGTCCATAAATGCAACTGCCTCTACAAACTTCAGATAGCTGGTTAATTGTGGGGGTTTTTGGTTTTGGTTTGTTTGGTTTTTTTGGTTATTAAGTATCAGTGTGCTCCTATGTAAATTTCAACACCTAAATAAGTTTTCCTGTGCATGGGTTTTAACTTGAGAGGAAAGAATGTTTTGGTTTGATGATTGGTGTGCACAGTACAGTAGCAGCGAGAGATGTTGTGCTCAATCATGCCAATCTTACCTTTTTCCTCTTAACTGGCGTAGGTGGTGGAACACATTAATCACGTCTCTTATTCTTCTGGGCGCTTCTTCGATTTTTGATGCAAGATTAATACAAGCCATGGCAACAATCTGAAAGAACGATCCAAGGAAACCTTGTTAGATGAGGGCTCCATCCCGTGCCGTTCGGAAAAAGTGCCCCTCCCAAAACCTAACTAACTTATTCTGCTGAAAAAACTTTAGGAGGACACAACTAGGACAACCTTCGGTGAAATAAAATTAAGATGACATTTCCGAGCCATAAGCTTCCCGGCCACGTTAATACTGTGAATTATTTTAATTGATTAATCCCTCCATTCTGAATCCAGAGTCAATCAAGCCCAGTCTCACAGGGCTTTCGAACTCGGCTGAAAATTCTAATTATTGATGGGAGGGTTCGGGACCCATTTCCTGGATTCTAGGACCTGGAACACATTCCGAAAGCCCCCACTTCCGGGGGGGTGAGAACCAGGTACCGAGGCCCAAAGGAACCACTTTCTTTCCGGGAGAGCTCGCTGCTAGCGCCGCCGCCCCCCCCCCCGCCCCGCACCCCCATTTCCGGATGGAGAATGCCTTTTCCCCTCGCCGCCGCCGTCCTTACCTCGAAACTGTGTTTGACGAAAGACTTGGAGTAGAAGAACCGATGGAACAACACCTGCCCCGTTGCCATCGCCACCTGCAGACGAGAGAGAAGAGCGGAAGCGCCAGGGTCAGGCGGGCCCGCACCAGGCGCCGCCGC